TTATTTTCTCTCAAAAATAGTAACTTTTTAATCAACTTTTTACATTTCTTTTATTTTTATTTTATTTTTCCTAACCCAAATTATCAGATATCTTATTTGTGGAGAAAGTGCAGCATAAGGCCAAAGTGCAGTTCAAGTTTAAAAAGAAGATATCAAAATTGAGTTGAAGCTCAATCCATCATCAACAACAATAGCCGGCCCATTCCTCCTCTGCTTTTTAATTCGCACAAGTAAAAGAAAAAAAAGTCTATGACTCCTTCTTCGCCATCATCAACGGAGCGCCGTGCCCAAATCAAACGCATAACTCCTCCAACGTTTGGCTCCATCAATTGCGTAGTAATCAATTATCAACGGGAAGAATTCAGCTCCTCCTTGCTATAAATTGAAGAGAATCGACACATATGAAGGGGGAAACACACGAGAATAAAGCAGCGGCCAAGCCGCTGCTATGGCAGAACCGGCGGCAGCATCAGTTCCGGCGAGCGGTCGGGAGTAGCTCCGGGCAGAGGTTAGGCTGTTCCTTCAAGCTCCAATTCCTCAATTTCTTCATCTTCTTCAACAATTGGTAACCCTATATGTTATTTCTTCAATTTTTTCTCCAATTCTTTGTAAAGTGTTGATTTTAGTTTAATTTTTACATTTTTTATTTGTTAGCTTGTTCAAAAAATTCCAAAAATGATTGGTGTTCTTTATGGTTTTTTTTATGTCTATATTAAATCCCTTATGAATGAGAATTGATTCAAACTAGTTTTTCTTCAATTATTGAGCAAGTTGTTGTCGAATTGGTTGAATTGCATAATTCGATTTCATAAGTAGGTTGGTATGTGGAATTCGGTTTTTGTTGAAACTATTTTAGCTCCATAAGATAGTTAAATGATTTCCGAATTCATATGTGATTCTTTTTTGTGCTTTGTGTTTGTTGATTTTAAGGATTTTGGACTTCTTAGCCCCATAAGTTGATTCATTCTCCTTAGAATTCGTTATTAAGTGATTGTTATGTTTTCGTGTGTTCGTTTGTTATTTTCATTAAATTAAGGTTGTTGAAGCTCAAAAACAATTTTTGATTTAGTGAAAATATGTTGTGTTCATTTATGTGAATAGAAAAAACGTCATTGGTTTGAGAAGTTCATGGAAATATGTGAAATGTGCTCATCATTAGGAGAAAAAGTTTGTTAAAATGCATAAGGTATTGGCGGTTTGTGAATAGATTATGTATGAGAGTTGAATGCATAATAGATTCTCTCTTTTATAAATTTTTTCTATAGTGGAAGTATGTTCTCATGCTTGAATAGAGAGTTGGGGTTCCAAGGTATATTTCAAAACGAGCCTTTGAATTGCATGACTCCGGGCCGTGTGGAGAGTTGACAATCCTCCATATCGTGGTTAAGGAAATGAATCGACTCGGCCTTTGATTGATTTTTTCTATTCTAAAGTGCGTAAGTTACGTAATATATTGTCTACGTGCCTATTATACGTGTAATGTTTGATTTGTGTTTGTTCTCTTTTTCATTTTGTTTCGGGTTCTTGGTGGTGTTTTTTTGGGTTTACTTTAGTTGGAGAAGTTGAATATCTTTAGAGTTTGTTTTCCCCCATTTAATCAAAAAATCCAAAAAAATAAGAAAATACATAAAAACCAAAAATATTTACTTTTCATTCAACCCCCCCTTTGTGTTATATAAGTATAAGTTTTATTTAATAAGTGTATATTATAAGTACTTGTTTATAAGTTATAAATAGAAGTTCTTTATATTATATTTTTAGTATGTGTTTTATGTTTATAGTTATATTATAGTTCTTCGTTTATAAGTTAAATTTATAAGTTTTTATACTTTTTTAGTTATAAGTTTTATACGTCTTATTATATGTGTAGTAGTTTTTTAGTGACAACGTGTTTGCATGCTAATTGATTTCAAAAGTACAAACTTTCTTCGTGGGATCGATCCTTACTTGCCCTAGCTATAGTTTTTATTTGATTATATATTGGGGGCTAGTTAAGGATATTTTATAAATTTTTAATTTGTTTTGGACCTTACGACAAGTCCTCAACAACATCTTCCCTACTAATAATGGTCGTGAGTATGTGAATCATCACTTTGGTCTTTTCTTAGAACAATTAGAGGTCCTCTATCATAAATCATGTCCTTACACTGCTGTACAAATTGGGGCCGCTGAGCATAGACACATACACTTAATTGAAACTCTTATCACACTTCTCTACACCTCTTCTTTACCTGCCCATTTTAGGTTGAAGCCTTAGCCACAACCAATTACCTCATCAACTGTATGCCTAAATGTTCTCTTCACTATAAGACTCCGTATGAAGCCCTTCATCACACCCACTAGATTACTCTCATCTTCGTGTTTTTGGTTGCCTCATTTGCCTTCACCTTTGCCATGATATATATTGATCACAAACTACAGCCTTGTTCCACCCAATGTGTTTTCTTGGGTTATGAGTCCTTATCCAAAGGTTGTCGCTGTTATGATCCTCTCACCAAACGCGTGTATATCTCTCGTCATGTTCTTCAAGAACATGTCTTTCCTTACTCTATCTCTACCACATACTCTTTGTCATCGTCAGCCTTTAGTGTCCTTCCTCTTTTCCCACCTACTTTGACTATGTCTCCCGCCTCGGCTCACTTGGTCAATCCCCCGGTAATACCCACCCAACCCGCACCAAGTACCCTACTGCTTAGCGTAACCCACGCACCAAACCCCCCAGCCCATTACCCCGCAACCCATTTATCCTACCACTGACCACATCCCTCAACCTACTTCCTCTACCAGTACACCAAGACCCTCTCTCCCACAACCCATTACCCCAACCCACTCCAGCTCACAACCCGACTCTCACCCTCAGCCCACGGTCCAATGTCCTCCTCTCCTTACACACCCAATTACCCGTACCAAAAGTGGCATTTTTAAGTCCAAGCTCTACTCCACCATCCTTACCACCCCTCCTGTTACTAAGCCCAACATTTATAAAGAGGCCTCCACAAATGAGTATTGGCACGGTGCTATTGATGAGGAATATTCTGCCTTGATGAAGCAGAACACTTGGGTAGTTGTGCCGAGACCCTTGGGTTGTGCTCCCATTGGCTGTAAGTGGGTGTATAAAATTAAGCATAATGCGGATGGATCTGTTTCCAAGTACAAGGCGCGTCTCGTCGCCAAGGGGGATAATCAGGAATTTGGTTTGGACTACTATGAAACATTTAGTCTTATTTTGAAACAACAAACTATTCGACTTATATTCAGTCTTGCTCTTCATTATGAGTGGTCTCTTAATCAGCTTGATGTATGTAATGCTTCTTTGCATGGTGAAGTGGAGGAATATCTATACATGACTCAGCCCCCAGGCTATGTTGAAATAGGCGTTTTCCACACCATGTTTGCAAACTCACACAGTCTCAGTATGGTTTGAAATAGGCTCCCCGTGCTTAGTACCTGCGTCTCTTGTCCTTTCTCTTTGCCTATGGTTTTTGAAAGAATGTACATGACACTAGTATTTGTCTCTCACACTCCTATTAGTACTGTTATTCTCCTTGTATATGTTGATGATATTATTGTGATAGGCAACTTCTCCGCTCTTGTCCAAAAGTTTATTGCACGTATGTGCCAAGAATTTAAAACAAAGGATATTGGTACTGGGATTATTTCTCTGGCCGTGAAGTCACTCGCACCTCATCTATTCTCGCGGTCTCTCAAAAGAAGTATGCGACAAAACATCTCCAACGGATTGGCCTTGCCGACTGTAAACCAACACCGACCCCCTTGCCCGTTCAGCCACCAACGATGGAGAATGGGGGGAATCAGCTGTTTCATGATCAAACTTTGTTTTGAAGTCTGGCTGGGGGTGTCTAGTATCTTACTACTACTTGTCTGAACATACAATTTGTTGTGAATTATGTATGTCAGCATTTGCATGACCCTACAGAGAAAGATTTTCAGAGCTTAAAACGGATCTTGCGGTTTGTTAAAGGAACTATTGATAGAGGTCTTGTGTTCCAGCCCGATGATCTTCAGTTACGGGCCTACTCAAATTTAGGTTGGGCTAATGACATGACAGATGAGTGTTCGGTTACTGGGTACTTGGTCTACCTAGGACCGAATCTAATATCTACAAAGAAACAAACTTGGGTTCTAAGTCTTCTACCGAAGCTGAATATCGTGCACTATCTGCTACAGTATCTGAGGTTATGTGGTTCACCTATCGTACCCCCTAGTGCAACCTCAACGTTTTTGCAATAATCAATCTGCTATATGTCTCACAAAGAACCCGATATTTCACAAGTATGAAACATGTTGGGATAAATTGTCACTTCGTTCGAGAACAAGTCCTTGCTAGGACAGTGAGTGTGTCTCATGTTTTTTTGGAGATCAATTGGCTGATATGTTGACCAAGGGACTACCTGCACCACGGTTTCGTGCTCTTATGTCCAAGCTTCCACTCGTGACTCGGAGTTCAGCTTGAGGAGGAATGTTAGACATTTATGTTAAGTAGTCTTAATTAAAGTAGACTTCTATATTTGGTTTCTAATTATGTTAGGAATCCTCTCTAAATATATTCAGATTTATCATTCCTTATGTGTGTGAAATACAATAATAATATTCCAAATATCTCTACACGACAGTATCTAGAGCTTGGTACATCCAACAAATGTTTATTTTGAATCAACGTAGTATTCAATTCGTTGTGAAATCATGTAGTGTTCATTCCATGTCTGCTCAATGTAGTGTATTCATTATAAAATAACATAGTGTTCATTTTGATACAACGTAATACTTATTTTGAAACATTTTTTTATTACGAGTACAAATTTACCATGTATGCCATATCCGGCTCTACCATATAACTTAGATTATAAGTAGTCAACATTTGTAAACATATTTTTTAAATCGATATTGGAAGAAACTGAAAAAAAAATTAAACAAAAAAGAAATTAAAAATAGATACTGGAAAAAGTTGAAAAAAACTGAAAAGAATTAGAATAAGTTAAAATTAATTTTGAAAAATACTTATTATGAAAATTAGGGAGGAACTGAGGAATAGAGGAAGGGAAGTTTTGATCACCAATGGCTTCTACACCAAGAACGCGCAAATCATCTACTCCGCTCACTCCCATCGTCAACCAGAAACCCTCTAGAAATCGAATTTCGCCGCCGTCAGATTCATCGCCCCTCGAACCATCCCAGAATTTCTTCCCCACCTCAAGGGCGGAGTTCTTGAGGCTCGTCTCTGTAATCTCCATCGCCGCCTTCATAGCTTTCGTGTGTAATTACATAGCCTCAGTTGTAGATCGACAGCCCAAACCCTTTTGTACTACCAATTCGGAGTTGGATGACGCCCTATCTGGTTTGCCCTGATACCATTTTTTTGTATCTTTCTTAGTTACTCATTGCACTGCTTTCGTAGCTACTTGTATTTTTACTCTGTGATTTAGGGGGAGTTTGGCAATCATTAGTAATTAGTTAGCAGATAGGATGACTAGCACAATAGTTTACAATTTTTGAAAAGATGTTTGGTAACTTAGCAGAATTCTAAAAGATAAAACTAACATTTTCAAAACATTATCTTACTAAACATATTGGTAATTCAAATTTCTACTTAACCAAATACCTTAATCAACATTTTGACCTGCAAAACGTTGTTTCTGGTCAAAATGTCAAAAAATTGTACTCCGTATTATACTGCTATCATTGCTATGATTACTATTGTCTGTTTGCCAAATACCCCTTTGAGTAAGGAGTTCATTTTCTATGAGAAAGACCACCAGGAGGTCCAGGAAATTTTCTTTTAAGTATGTACTCTGTAAATGATTAATGATCTAACTAACAAGCTGAGCTTCTTGATCAATAAAAGAACTGTTTTATGTTTCTTTTTCCTTCAGTTTTGTCTTTAATTAATAACTGCTGCAAAGAACAACATAAAATGTGTATAATATGCAAATGTATTGGGCAGAAGTTACTTAAAAGCTCATATTTTTGGAAGATGAAAAATACAGTGTTTTAAGTTGGAATTCTATTGACCAAAAGGGTTCATTGGACATTCACATGACAGTATATGAAAAAACAGTGAATAGAAATTGAACACTCTTTTCTGATTGTGTATGTCGAGAGTGTTTTGCAAATTGAGTGTGGAGGCTCGACCAGGAAGGGCAGCCGGCCCTAGTCTTGGTTCGATCCATATGGCAGTAAATTAGGTTTTTAATTTAGCCGGCCCTAATTCTCTCTGTGGGCTTGGGCCTAACTTGGGGATTAAGTTTTCAACCCTAGTTTAGTCTTCATAAATAGCAATCTCTGTACTTGTAATTCTTTGAGCACCTGGATAATAAAAATCCTAGTTGCAAAGTGGATTAGGTCAGCCGACCGAACCACTATAAATCTTGTGTTTCGTTTTCTCCGTTTTGATTTCTGTTTTGTGTGTGTTCTTGTTTGGTTGTGGTTTGCTATTTAGTATTCATAGATACCCCAAGAACTGGTATCAGAGCCTTAGGTTCGTGATCGTTTGAAGTCTTCCCTCGGGTTCGTGGAGATCAAGTTCAAATCGAAGATTAGGGTTTCGAAGGGTTTGAAGATCAGTTCCACCACCGTCATAGTTTCCGCTGCAGAATACGGTCTGTACTGTCTTGTGAACAGTAACCATGCCGCCGCTGTGAACAGCCGCTGCTGCTAGGGTTTTGTTTAGCCGCCGCTGCTAGGGTTCCGAATAGTCGCTACCAAGGTTAGTTCGTTATTGGTTTTTTCAATCTCAGATCAGTTTTTCAGCCGTGTATGGAAACAATGGCAGATGAAAAGATAATGATTGAAAAGTTTGATGGAAGTGATTTTGGGTTTTGGAAGATGCAAATCGAGGATGTTCTTTATCAGAAAGACTTATACCAAACGTTATCAGGAGAAAAGCCAGAAAAGATGAGTGATGCGGCTTGGGCGATTTTGGACAGGAAAGCTTTGGGAGTGGTTAGGTTGTCATTGGCGAAGAGTGTTGCTTTCAACACAGTCAATGAAACGACTACGCATGGGTTAATGAAAGCTTTGTCGAATATGTACGAGAAACCCGCAGCATTGAACAAGGTGTTTTTGATCAGACAGTTGGTTAACACCAGAATGAGGGAGGATGCTTCAGTTACCATTCACATCAACCAGTTTAATTCGGTCATAACTCGGTTAGGATCAGTTGGAATTAAGTTTGATGATGAACTTTAGGCGTTGCTGCTTTTATCTTCTTTGCCTGACAGTGACTGCAGTTAGTAGTGCATCTAGTACTACTAAGTTTACTTTTGAAGGAATTCAGGACTTGATTCTAGGTGAAGACATCAGACGCAGAAGTTCAGGGGATTCTTCGAGTGCACTGTTGAGTACTGAAGGTAGAGGAAGAAGGAATGAAAGAGGAAGCAACCGTGGTAGAGGCAAGAGTCAGTCCAAGCATCGGGAAGGAATTTTCTGTTGGGATTGCAAACAGACAGGACATTTTAGAAGTCAGTGTCCGAATGGTAAAAAAGAACTGAATACTACAAAAAGCTGCTCAGACAATAGTGATGATGTGTTAATCTGTAGCGTAGAGAGTAGTATAGATTTCTGGGTGATGGATTCTGGTACATCTGTTCACACACAACATGAAGATGATGAAGAATCTGAAGATTGGGGACTTTGGTAAGGTACGACTTGGTAACGATGAAATTCTGGATGTTACGGGCATGGGGGATATTGACTTGAAAAGTTCAGTTGGAGCCACTTGGACTTTGAAAAACGTCAGAGTCATTCCAAGCTTGAAGAGGATGCTTATCTCAGTTGGGCAGTTGGATGATTCGGGTCTTGATGTTAAATTTGGTGGTGGACAATGGAAGGTGGTCAAAGGAAATCTTGTTGTTGCCCGTGGCAAGAAAAAGGGTTCGTTATATATGGTCGAGATACCTCCAGAAGTAGCAAGTCCAGTTTTTGTAAAAGAAAAGGTCCGGTTCAAAGAATCTCGTGTGCTAAAGAGGGTTACCCTTGCAAAGGAGAAACTCAGAGAAAGAGTACAGATTCAGGATGAAGTAGCTCGGAAGGTTCAACCAGTCAGGGAATTTTGTGACAGTGGGAGCACAGGTCGTGCCTCAGTCCCAATCCGACAGTGGGTTACGAAAACTAGTATTCCGGCGTTGAAAGTTTCTCCTGTTAATGTAGGTTCTCAGTTTGTCTTAGAAGCCTTGAGAGTGATAGATGTGTCACACTCGGAGCTAGCAGAGAAAGAGAACGAGTCACGGGTTGTGACTGATGAGTTAAAGCTCTTTGGGAGCTTCAACGGTCCTTTAGATAATTGAAGAGAAGGCCGCTGCAACTAGTGGAAAATGAGGATTACAAGAGTTACAGATGATGAAGACTAAGGGGCGTTGTTCGAGCCTCCAAGTGGGAGATTGTTGGGCGAATTGAGTGTGGAGGCTCGACCAGGAAGGGCAGCCGGCCCTAGTCTTGGTTCGACCCATATGACAGTAAATTAGGTTTTTAATTTAGCTGACCCTAATTCTCTATGTGGGCTTGGGCCTAACTTGGGGATTAAGTTTTCAACCCTAGTTTAGTCTTCATAAATAGCGATCTTTGTACTTGTAATTCTTTGAGCACCTGGATAATAAAAACCCTAGTTGCAAAGTGGATTAGGTCAGCCGACCGAACCACTATAAATCTTGTGTTCTGTTTTCTCCGTTTTGATTTCTGTTTTGTGTGTGTTCTTGTTTGGTTGTGGTTTGCTATTTAGTATTCATAGATACCCCAACAGAGAGCAGAAGATCATGTTGTTGTCCCTTCCGCTTGTTCAGTTCTACACAATGAAGGTGAAAAAACAAAAAAATTATAGATATACTTGTAAGGCTTGGATATGAAAACTCAAGTACTGAACACCTAAGTATTATATGCAACTAGGTAAGGGAGTGAATTAGATGCATAGAGGAATATATGTGGAAGAGTGGGATATAACAGCGGGTATTCAGACTTCAGAGGCTTAGGAGCTGGTTAATGTATTAGAAGAAGAGGTTAGAGTTTCAGAGTTGAGAAAGGTGTTATGGGAAGATTGGAATGGGTTTCTGTCAATATTAGAATAACTCCAAAGCACTACTATGAAGTGTTAGAAAACATGTGCACATATCTCTCATTTTGCACCCACGTAGCTCTTATAATAGACATGAAACAAATTCTCACTTAATATTCATATTTTATTATTATTCCGAACAAATGTAATACTAGTTAGGAAATATTCACACCAATACTCCCATATTTGGCTGATTATAAATATTACTCTCATATTCTTTTTTTGCATGCCAATACCCCGAGAAATCACCGGAATTTAAATAGCTATTCTAGCTTGAGTGAGCTTCAAGCATAATTACGAAGAATTATTTGGCTGACATGACATCTGAAATAATGAGTTGGCAACACATCTAAAGTAATGATATTAAATTATATGTCATTTGGACTTGTCCGAATAACGTAATAAAAAATCCTTATTGAACCAGTGAAAGCATCCGTCTTCTTCCTCGTTGTCTTCCCCGGCGTGAAAGCAGCTCAATCTCAGAGCTAAGATGCCCTTGGAATAAGACAACTCATTATTTCAGATGCTATATTAGCCAGAAGAATTCCACGTAATTATGCCTCAACCGTCACTCCGTCACGCTAGAGTAGCGATGTAAAATCCTGTATTTTCTTGGAGTATTCGCATGCAAAAGGGAATATGAAAGTAATATTGTATAATCGGCCAAATCCGGGAGAATTGGTGTGAACTTTTCCTACAAGTAATATAAAAAGCAGTCACACAATTTATGATATATCATTGAATATTTGTCATGCTATAAAAATGCAATAAGTAAATTATTCAACTTTTTGCAAGAGATAAATGTGGATATGTATATTGCGTGTGTGTACACACACACACAAGCACACACATATCCATGTTTCAAAGAAATTATTGCCTAAATAAAACTAAGAATTAAATTACACTTTGAAGTTTATAAAATTAGATTCATTCACTTTATCACTTAAAATATTAAGAACTAAGCAATTCAAACCAATCCTTACTCGGAAGTAAGGTATGGGGAGGCCCGAGAAGGTGAGATGTACATAGTCTATCCTTAAAAGTAGAGACACTATATGCACATTGGGTACTTACTTACTTTTCACATCTCTAGGGGTAAAAACAATAGCTTTTCGTTCTTTTCCGAAAATGTGTATCAAAAATGAAGTAAAACAAAAAGAAAAAGGTTGTCACTTTTTTCCCAACCCTCTCGGGAATTAGGAAAACTCATTTGAAATGAGCAACAACGACCCCGTAGAATCCCAATTCATTTTCAACAAATACCTAAACCCCAATTCTGGGTAAGCAAGCCCTGCCCGCTAGCTCCCACCTTGGCAAAAAGGTGAGTGAACAAGCACACCTTCAATCCCTCTCCCTTATGGTCGAGCCACAAGGGATCTGTTTCACTATGTCCATCCATAAGCAGTGATGTATATAGTGCGAGTAGTTGAAAAGCACGAAAGTAAGCAATGGAAAAGGAAAAATAGGGAACACCAAATAAGTACGAGCGTAGAAGACAAGAAAAGAGTAGGGGAGCAAGAAAACAAAGCACCAACAAATGCCCACACAACTAACACCTAACTGTGTGTGCCAAGAGCACCTAACTACCAAAGAACACCTACTTACAAACCCCATAATGAATCTACTTCCCTAATATGATGTTTCCTAGAACCACCTTTTAGAGGCCATGTCCTTGGAGTGTTTTAAGGCTGCTACACTCGGTCTCATATTCTCATCGCATAGCCCACATCATAATTGGCTCTCATCATCCATTTAACCAAAATGCTCTCCACTTACCTCAAAGCATCTTTGAGGCAGGCATGGCTAAAATGTTGCAGCTTACCCTCTCATACTGTAAAGTTAATAGGCATAACTCCTAGCTTTGCCTGGAATGTCACATCCAATATTGGGTCCAACGTGGTATGACCATATTTCTTATGCAACATCCACATCACCACAACTTATAACTTCTACTCAGGAGCTTTTCTTATCGCTCACGCTCACACCCACACCCATGCATCACAGCTGGTCACATGACTATCCTGTTTTAATTTCGGAGGGAGTATTAATGCATATTTTTTCTGACAACTCATATACGAGATCTTGTTTGGCAATAAAGGTATTAATCATATTACAGTCACCACCAACTTGAATAAAAGAGAGTTTTAATTTTCATGACCACTCTCATCCAAAAAGTTGAATCGCAGAGGTTGGGTTCTGGTGAACATTGAACAATCATCTGTTGGAGAAAAATTTCATCTATGTAGTCTTCATGATACTCTGAATGTCTGCTACATTTTACCATTTGCTTCAAACTCTTTGTCCCTGTAGCAGCTTAGAAAGTATTTTCTTCTAAGTTATTTTTGTCTATGCCCCTCTTAATAATCTTGCAGTTACTTCTCAATTTGCATGCTGCCTTTTTAATTATCTTTGGCCTCATAATTACCTCTCAATTCTCATGCTTTAGATTTGTGTGAGCCTTGTCCAACTAATGGAGTATGCTATGATGGAAAATTGGAGTGTGAACATGGATTTCGGAAGCATGGAGACTTATGTATAGAGGATTCAAAACTTAGTGAAGTGGCCAAGGAACTAGTATGTTACTATAAATTTTTTTGGTTATGTTATTATTGAATAGAGAAAAAGGAAAACTATTTTATTTCTTATGCTTTATGAGCAAGTTACTAAGTTCTAATTCAAAGTGTGCATAATGTGGTTGCAGTACAAATTTGTAGAAGATCATGTGTGTAAGGCGTATGCTCATCATATGTGTGGTGGCTCTGGTGCTCTTTGGGTTTGTGACTTCTAAAGTCTCTCGTACTATCCAACAACAATTGTTTCTATAACTATGTGTGCTCTCTAGCCGATTTATGATTTTGCCAGTGGGTTGTAGAACATGGCGCACTAAAATAATTTGTATAAATATTCATTCCGTGTTTAGGTTCAAGAAGGTGAGATTTTGAATAGATTCGAGGAAAATAAGTTGACGAAGCATTATGGCATAAGTGGTGTTGCATATGGTCATTCAAAGCAGCGAGCTATTGAGGCAGTTGACAAAATGCTTGAGAGAAGGATGGGCCACCATGAGTAAGATTTATGTTTAGTACATTATGTGAGAAAACACAACCCGATTTAGTTACAAAAAATGTTTTTTGAATGGCCATGTTTTCATTTTTATGAATACTAGATAGCTTTCATCAAATATTTATTCTCAAATTTAAAATAAGTTGGAATATGTATATTTCCATTGCATCATGATATCAATCAACAACAACAACAACCCAGTTGAATCCCACTACAGTAGGGTCTGGGGAGGGTGTGTGTACGCAGACCTTGCCCCTACTCGGAAGTAGGGAGGCTGTTTCCAAGAGACCCCCGGCTCAACCTGCACAAAAAATATGGTAGGGAATGATATCAATCCAATTTATAAATGAAAATCTTATTGTGTAGTGGCTGCAGTAGTAGAGAGTAAGCTGGTTGTGTTGGGGTAACTGGTAGGCAGATGTAAGATACACGTAAATGTTAGTGTGCGTTGAGTAAGGGGGTGTTTGTTTTTTCTGCAGGAAAAGGTCTGCGGTCTGCGGACCACTACTGTAGACATCTGCAGGAGAAGTGGTGTACCGAAGGTCTGCGGTCTGCAAGAAGAAGACTGTTTGTTTTTTTAATGTCTGTAGAATGCTATATAAATTAATGGTGGTAGTGTACGGTGGTGGTGTATGGACGATTGTGGTGGTGGTGGAGGGTGGTGGTGGACG